AGACCACAGAAAGCCTGTCCCCAGCATCAGAAGACAGCCCAGGACCCCAGGCTGTCTCCAGAGAACAAAGCTTCGAGGCGAGTCCGTGTGGACCACGGCGGCCAGCTGCCAGGAAAGTCGGTCCCTGGAGATCAGAGTGCAGCTCCTGTCTGTTTCATCCACTGGGGCTGCAGCTTAAACCACACACGGGCCTCCCTTGCAGCCAAGCCCTGCCCGCTGGTTTCCCCGCCCAGACGAAGGTGGCCCGAGTCACCAACCTGCCCAGCATAAGCCAGGGCAACAGCGGCTCCCGGAAGCCCATCGCTGTCTTGGGCTCCCAGGTGGTTGTAGGCGGCACTTCATCATGCAAACACCCACTGCCGCCTTAACCGAGCCCCTCTGACATTTAATTGAACATTAGGGACCCTCCCCAACAAGTAATGTCTCACCTGTCCCTTCTTTAAAATAGTGAAAGACTCAAGTGCCAAGGGAACAGAGTGACATCTGGCTTTTCAGTGGCACGTATTCTGAGGGTGTGCTAGAAGTTCAGTGGGCACAATGCAACTGTGTGTGAGGAAATGGCAGGCGAAAGCAGACGTGCTCCGATGTGACCCGTGCAGCATCTCTTAGAAACCCATGTCAAACATCTCTTGTCAAATGTCACCCATATGCATGATGTTTGGGGGATCTTCCTTTCTCTGCAAACAACTTCATCTAACTTGATCCCAGAATAACATATTTTTGATACTAATTCTTCTAAAGCCAGGCATAGCCATATCCATAGTTAGAAACACCTAGAGAACCTATCTCAAAATATGACACCTAAGAAATTAATCATGGAGATGTCATCAATAGGTGACAAATAGTTCAAATAACACTGAACAAAGTCAGTAAAGACATGTTTTTTTAACATAAAAGCAAGAAGACCAAAGAGCGTACCTGGGATCTTGAAACACGAATACACTGTTCAAAGGCTTGTCCCCCATGCTTAGCACGTACAACGGCTCTACAAAAGCACACTTCTTATTGGCTTGATTTATCTATGGCCACCTTCCTACCTCTAAGGCAGGGGTGTAAAGTCAGCCACTGGCTGCTCCATGACGACACAAATCATTCACTAACATCATGAGCTCACCAGGTCACTCTGATAATGGGTAACTGTTACCCCTTTCCTTCCTGTAGTAAGAACAGCAATCAGAAGGCGTCAGCTTTCTGACTGACGTGGCATTTCTCCTGTTTTCTTAATGCACACTTTACCTCTTCTGAAGTCATTTTAAAAGAAGACTGGGGTTTTGCTATTAATACTACTGACCTAAAACCTGTACTACATCAATCTTGATTTTTTTGGAAAATGATGTTATTTGAAACCAGTGTTTATTTTTTTGACTTCACAAAAATAGTTAATCATTTGGAAGTCTACAGCCTTTGAAAGAATCTAAAAATGTTAATTAATCATTGGTACTGCCATTTATTGCCATTTAAGCCAGAAGCTCACTGACTTGAAGCTTTTTTTTAACACTTACTTTCAATGTTTTCTCCCATCTTCAAGGAAAAGCATTTTAATTACTTCTTAATAACACACCAGTTTAACTTTCCCAAAATTCCCATTTGACTCAAAAGTCAAAACCTATAAAGAAGAAAGAGGAGTTGGAAGAGAAATACACATTCCAAAAGAGACTAAGCTCTGCTCTTCTTGTATTAACATCACTGAAAACAGGAGAAGATTTGAAAAAATAGTTCAAATAACACTGAACTAAGCTAAGCCACATACATGCTCAGCCTTCCAGTTAGAGGTGGGTAAGGCATCCCTTTTTATGTAGGTCCATACCTAGTCTTCACTTCCCTTTTCTTCCTAAAATGTGGTGCCTCAGATGATCGCACCCTTCAAACTTGCAGTGCAGTGGGCTGGACGGCTCTGTGAGCAGAGCTGCCCTTGAGCGCCCCCGGGCTCTGAAGCCCCACCGCTGGCCGGGCCGATGCAGCTGCGAGCACAGAAGCAGGCGGCTCTCTCTCTGGCTCAGTCGCTGTCGAGGCCTTCGTTCTGCATTTCTGAAGTGCTTAGTGGGACATGACGTTTTCTAGGAGGTGTACATCTGCCCATCTCTTGGCAATCAGAACAGCAGGGAGCACCACACAGTTAAGAATGATTAAGGGCACTCCTCGCCGGCTTTCACATCCCTCGTGCGTCACCCAGCTGCCCGCTCAGAACAGCGCCTGCCGAGAACAAGGGGAAGCATCTTCCTCTCTCATCACTTCGGAACCACCTCATACTTTCCCATCTCACCCTCCAGAGTATTTTCTAAGGGGCCGGCCTTCCCCCCCCCGTGAAAGCCAGTGTCGTCCTCACAACTCCACGTCCACAATTTGGGGCCTCAGCTTAACCTGCTGTCCACCAAACCTGCCATTTCTCAGCTCTGGTTTAGTAAAAATAGCACCGCAATGAAGCACTCAGGAGTGAGCACACTTTCTTTTCCGGTTCACAGGTTGTGAGTAGACCCCAAAGCACGGTGCTTCCCCCTCGCTGTGATGCCAGCTGCCCCACAGCCCTGCGATGACCAAGAGGGTCCTTCCCGAGCCTTCGGGAGCCCGGCAGGTTGGCCGCCCCGCCTGCGTGGAATCGCCAGAACCACGAGAGAGCCTGTTCCCTCGCGAGAGTGTCGCTGTGAGGTCAGGCTGAGTCCTGGAGGCTGGAAGCCTGGGCCCGCACCTTCCCTCCCGCGGGCCCGCTCCCGAGGCGGCCGGGGCCTGTGGCTGCGTGGCAAGCGGCACACCACCCGGGAAGAGCAAGAACAGACTCCCAAACTGGGACAGGAGCCCCAGGCGCTTGGCCGCGGGAAGCAGAGGCTCACTCTGAAAGAGCCCAAGCCCCTGGCCTCCCGGCCCTTCCGCTGTCGCCACGGCAGTGACAGGGCCCGTGGGACCCACAGGCCCCCCCGGGTCACCCCGCCCCCCGTCACTCTGCTGCCTCCCACTGCCCTTCCAGGGAGAGGGCCTCCCCACTGACCCCTGCTTGGAGGTGAGGCAGCCACGCCCTGCAACTTCACCTGCCTCGCCAAGGCACCACCCGCCTGGTTCAAGGGTGCTGCCCGGCAGGGCGTGGGCCAGTGGGTCTGGCCTTCCTGCACCTGCTGTGGGTCCCTGCCCCTCGTCTCCCCGAGAACCCGCAGGGCTCTGAGTAAAGGCTGCTGCCTAGCCCAGGAAAGGCCCAGTGGTGGGGGCTGTGAGTCGGGGCAGTGGGAAAGGCCTGGCTCCGCACGACAGAGGAGCTCTTCCTGGTGGCAGGCTGCAGGGCAGCACGGCGCATGGCTGCCGAGGTTCCCTTACGCCATGCCGGGACTAATGAGGACGCCAGAGCCGCCGCACGTGGGGTCACTTCTCGGTCAGAGGGTGAGGTCCCGGAGCAGCTGGGGCCTGGAGGCGCCCCCTTCACTGCAAGGCCAGGGCACCCCTTCTGCTCTTCGGGAAGGGCGAACTCAGCCTCTATGGGGGAGTGGGGGTCTCTCAGCACTCAAGGCTCCAGCCCAACAGGGGCCCAGCAAGCCAGAACCTCTCCTTCACTTGGCCCTGAGTCAGCAAGGCAGGAACGGGGAGCGAGGGCAGGTCAGTCACCTGGGAGATGCCGCACGCGACTCAGCAGGCGCACCCCATGGGATGGACTGGACCGGGCAGTGCAGGCGTCCCCTGTCCTCCCGCGGCCCCACTGGGGCTCCCAAGGGTCCGCCTTCCCCACCCTGCCCACTGGGGCCGGAGGCCCGGGCTCGCACTAATTTGTCAGCAAAGGGCCCACACTGGGAGCCGTAGCAGCAGCCGGGGGACACCGTGCTTTCCTGCGTCCATTTAGCCTTCTGCATTTTGCATCCTAACTGGGTGTTATTAGGGAAGGAAATAACAGCTTCCACAATTAGAACATTCTAGTGCTCAAGGTCATGTCTTCTACCTATATAGTCCCTCGAGGGCAGGGCAGCTAACGCAGGGTGACAGGGCCACACACCCGAGCTGAATTTATTCTGATCCCCCAGACACACTGTGGCACAGAAAACTGCCTTAAAAACATATCTGAGAGAGTCTGGATCTAGAAGACCCCAGCAGCACTGCGGCAGGATAAAAAACATGCACTCGACCTTTGCCCCCCATTTGATTCTGGGCACCAAGCTCTTAACACCCCTGGACTCTGCCGAGTAATGGGAGCATCATTTATTCCCAAGTAGCCTGCTGCCCCTGCACGGGCTCCTGCTGGCAAGGCGCCCCCTGGGTGCAGGGCTGGCCCCAGGGGGACCCGCGATCACAGGTTTCTCTTCTCGCACACCCACCCCAGTCCCGGGGAGGTGAGGGTGCTGAAAGGAGCTCCGAGGCCTGGCCAGGGTGGGCACCAGTCGCCAGGGACACCAGGGGAGGCTGCTGTCCTACCCACATGGCGCGTGAAGCGGGTGCCGGCAGCTGCTGTTTCCGTGTGGAAATGAGCTGTTCCTCCCAGCCGTAACCTGCACTCTGATCTTCAGGTTTTAAAACTCATTTTTACTATAATAACCTTTTTATTCTGCCTCCAAATTACTCCATTACAGATGGATGTCTTTAAAAAAGCAAAGTCTGTGCTCCCTCATGGGGGGCACGGTGCATACGGCTCACTCACAGATGGAGAATCCTCATTGGGCGAGAGGAGAGGGTCCAGAGCGTCGGTAATTAAGAGCCATCTAGTTACCATTTCCTCGGAGCAGGGGGAGAAAGTCCTCTGAGGCTTCAGGCAAACTACATTTTCTTCAGACACCGTCCTCCACCGACATATACACAACAGCATTGCTTTAATACATATTCGCAAATGTACTGGAGCAGATAACTTATCACTTAAATGGTACTTTTCTTTCTGCAGAATGTGACAATGGTATAGAACTATATCTGCCACAAGTTGCAAATTAGTTTTTAAAACACAGTATTACCTAAGGAGCATGCATTTGGCAACAGTGAGCAAATGCGGGGACAAGACAAGGCCGGCTGTCCTGGCTCACGGTCCTTGGGCTTCTTACCAGGGGGATCCAGGCACAGGCGTAGAGGCCACCGGTCTGTTGCCTTTGGCTGCACTGCTCTCTCCTGCCACAAGTATGGATGGAGGGTCCTTTCAACAGAAAGCAGAGGAGAGCACTTTTTAAAAAATGTAAACCCTCCTCTCCAGTTACAGGCAACCAAGGACAGGATAGCAACCTCCTGCAGACAGACCCACCTGCAGCAGTCGGGCGGTTTTGACCTGCTCAGCACAGCAAGCACAGGGCCTGAGTGGTCATGCCAAGGACACAGAACTACGGGACAGCACGCTGTGCCGAGGAGCTCACACAGAGGCGTCCCCTAACTATCGCAGACTGGTTAACCTATCTTCTTTGGCAACACACAGAGCGCAGCGCCAGCCAAGAGACTGTTTCCAGATGCTGCAACTCTCAGCGGGAAATCCCATTGGATTCATCTCGAGAAATGAGCTGACCTAGTGGCTGGAGGCCCTGTGCCGCCAGAACACCGCATTGGGGTGGAGCACCTTGAAGCTGTGCGGGGCCTGGGTGCAACTGGAGCTGGCTCACCCCAGGCCCTTGAAGGCAGCAGGAAGTGATGGGCGCTGACCTAGCCGCGTCTGGCTGCCTCAGGGCAGAGCCCCCTGCGGAGCATCTAGCTGGGGGCAGAGTCCTGCGGCTGCTCACGGAGCGCAGGTGATTCTCCGCACAGTTGGGCTTGAGAATCACCGTGGGTCTCTGTTTAGAAAATGAAGAATGTTTTAGTATTCCATCACCCAGAAGAAATGAAGATTTAGTCTCTAAAATTAAAAAGAAAAAAATCTGTGGCTGGGACACTTGATTCTTGTTCATGATGGACAGAATTCCAAGAGAAACAACAATCTGCTTTCAATTAGAAAATGTGGGCACCGCCAGTGCCAGCATGAGCTCAGACCCAAGATCAGGCAAGCGTATTTAGCTGCATCGTGTCTATCAGACGTCAGCACTTTGTTAGATGGACAGAAAACAGCACCGAATTCCTACAGGCAGAACAGCAAAATCACAAGGAATTTTTACAAAAGTGTCATCTCAACTTCAGAGCAGCCACAAGAAAGAAATAAAACCCAGTGAATTCGAGTTGTGAGAACATTCACTTTCCCTCTGCCTGCTGGTTCTGTGGTTTCCCTCACTTAGACTAACATAACGCTGCACTCTTTCTCTCAGAAAGTCAGGTGAGATGAAATGATACCCATGCATTTTCCAAGCAGCAACCAGGCACTGAGCTGGGACCGTCAGGTGCAATTAAAGCGTGAGATTCACTAAAATGTCATCCTGAACGTTAGCCTCTCCATTTCCACCATCACTGATGCCAGTGCTTTATGGGGTATGTAGGTGTGAATAGTTAACCATTCCTTTGAATAATCAGGACCGAATGAGTCAATGCTCCTACACGTGGCAGGAGCACCCAACTCAGTCAGCCACACAAGGACGCAGCAGGCGGCCGAAGCCCCTGCCCCACCCCCGTGGCCCCCGGGGGCTGGTACTCATGTCTGCTGTGCCATTTCAGAGTGGTTAGGAAGGGACATCCTAAATCACAGGAGCTCTGGAAACAATACCCCAACAAAGGCTAAAAGAACCCCAGGAGTCTGGAAGAGCTGAGGGGGAAATAAATCCCCTAAGAAGAAATGCTGTGCTCTGGTGAGACTGTTACCAACCGCAGGTGGCTGCCTGTGACCCCGCCATTCCACGAGCCGAGGCTCCGGCAGGGCTGTGCTGTCAGGAATGCAGGGCCCAGAGGGAGAGGAGGTGCCCTGGCGTGGACGCCCTCAGCTGGGATGGTCCCTGTGTGGTCCTGCGTGAGCGCAGGTGCGGGCCGCACCTGGCGACCAGCAGATGGTCCTGCGGGAAGTAAGGGGTCACCTCATTCACGCGGGCTCATGGTGCAGTTTTACGGGGGTTTTCCTGAGGCCCGTCTTCTCTGTGACAGATAATTACATTAAGTAAATGCTATGTAATTTATATATAATCATCCTTAAGTTATTAAGTTTAAGAATAATCTGTTTTAGAATTTCTGGGAATTAGAAAATTTCCTTCCTGTGTGAATAAAAGGTCAGGATAAATAATTAGCATAATGGAGTATTGGGAAACAGTTGTACTAAAAAAATATACTGAGACCAGAGTTTATATTACTAATCCAATTAGAAAAATGAGGGAGGTTTTCATTATAAAGCTAATTGAACAACAGATACCCAACGAGGGGCCTGCGAGGAACAGATCACCCCAGCTAATTACTCAAGTAGATACGGCAGGACGGGACCTGTGATGGGGACCGACATTTAAGTTGGCGGGGCTGGGTTTCTCTGCGGCTAATTACCAGTGTCATCTCCATGTGGCACACGCAGCTTATGATTTCCTGTTGGCGGTAAAAATGGCTAATCATGGCATAAAGCTTCCCTTTCACGCTAAAGTAATAAAAGTGAATTAGACTCACGGAGTTCAGTGATGAAGAAAGTGGCTGAGGCACTCAAAAGAATCTGTTTAATAACTGTGATTCTGGCGCGGGTGTGAATCCCTTACAGAGAAATACTGCATGCATGAGCACAAGCTCAATTTGCACAGTTGTGTGTCGTCTGTACGCATTCAACAATGGTGAGGAAGAGGGCGACCCACCCCTGAGGGCCCTGGGGACTGTGGCTGATGGAGGCTGGTGCAAAAACCAGTGGGCACGTGGCATTCTGCAGACGCACGGGAGTGAGGTGAGGGGAGCGCCAACGGGGCACTGGGCCGCCCACCCGAGGCCTGCAGATCAGAGCAGATTAAGGGTCCTTGGGACTTTCAAATGTAGCAATAAAAGCTACGCCCTTGGGTTATTCATAGTAGGTAAGTGTGCCAAACATTAATGGTTGGTCCTTAAAATGCCATTTGGCAAACAGGCAGAGAAGAGCCTCAGATTAGAAGGCGTTAGGAAAAAGCCTAGGCATGGTGGAGAAATCCCCATGAGGGGCTGGCCTTGCCTCGGGGGGTCTGCCTGCAGCCTGGCTGCCCTGCGTGCACTCTGTCCTTCTCAAGTGTGGGGGCCAGGGTCACCACCCACGTGCCTCTGGACAGAGCCCAAGGGAAGGCCGGCTGTGCTGATCAAGGCCCCTGACACCTTCTTCCCAGTGGTCTGCAACCACCTTGCCAGACTGGGGTGTTTCACAGAACGGACCACAAAGGGCTACCAAGGAGCCGCATGGGAAATGGCTGCAAGGGTCACGGGGGCTCCTAGTCCTCCCAACCTGGGGTTTCGCATCTTTAAAACACAGGCTGCGAGTGCCAGACCGACCTTGTCTTCTCCAGCCCCAGCCGGGCTCTTCCTCTCCGCGTGTAACATCAGGGATGGAGGGCAGGGCGCTCGGCTACGCTCTCTGCTTTTATCTGTTGGACCAAAACAGTTGTCATTAGCACTCCATTTGTCACATCAGTTTGGAAAAATGTAAACAAGGACAAAAAGTGGCCTTGAAAATTCGAGTGTCTGGCACGAGCTGTGCAGCTGAGGAAAGGCTGTGTCAAGCTCGCTGACTATGGTCTCATGACAAAGTCCCTCCAGTGACAGGCCTCCCCTGGCCAGCCCTCCATGACTGAGCACAGCGGCATCCACAGCACCAGTGGCCATGCCTCGTGGGCCAGGCCACGGGGCTGTGGGTGATGGGACCCAGACTTTCTGACAAGCACATGGGCCAGCAGAACCAGGTGTCCTTGGGCTTCAATGGCTGGTGGCCGTGATGGGCCACCCTTGGCCCTGATCCTGACAGGGGGACAGCTGGGGTCCAAGCTGATGAGACCTTCGGTTTCCACTGGTCACTCACCACTAAAGTGGGCGCTGGCTTTGCCATGGGCCAGTCTAGGCAGCATTTGGGAAGGTGGCTGTTTGGGAGGAGGGAGGTGGAATGTCAGAAATGTGGATTCCTGATAGGCAAACAAAGCTCAGGTCCACATTTTAAAATGTCCACATTGCTCTCAAACGTTCAAATAGTAAACAGGTGCAGTGAAAGACAGCAAGATTCACCACTGTCTTACTACAAAGAATGAAAAGAAGCCTTAAGCAATCTAACTACACACCAGCCTGACAAACAGGGAGATTCACCCTGGAATTGGTCTCAGGCGTGAAGGTCAGGACCCTCTGAAAGAAAGCAGAACTGCTTGACCCGGGGGTCCCATCTGCCTGGCAGTTTAGGAAGGCCCTGGGGTAGATCCTTCCAAGCGGAAGGGAGGAAGGGGGAGCGATTAGTACAGCTTTACATGTGTGTGTGTACCTGCAGCTGGAACCCTGTGGCTGCAGAGCTGGGTCGAGCCCACAGGGCAGCCCACCTCAGAGGCCCCGTGGGGATGCACCTCACTCGGAGATGCCTGGTCAACAACTGCACTTGACAGGGGAGCACCACCTTGGGGACCAGGCACGCCATCCTCACAGGTGCTGTGCCTGCATGAGGCAGAAGGGCACGGCCACCAGCTTCCACCCCTCCCCTACATCTGTCATGTGCATGGATAGATGGACAGAGGTTGCTGTGACCACAGTGGGGTGCACTGGCCACTCCCTGTCACTCTCAAGGGCATCCTGGTCTGCCAGCTCCAGGCAGTTGGAGGAGCCCTTAGTTCAGGCTGATGGCACAGACCAAGCATGGTCCCTGCCCCCAAGGCCAGCCAGTGTAGACCACCACTGAGAGACATGCCTGGGGCCTGGCCAGGCCAGATGCAGGTCTATTTCCAGATCAGCCAGGGGACAGGCCATCAACTTTTCACTGAACTGTATAACCAAGCCCAAGTCATAAAGCCAAATTCTGACCTCCAGGGCACACGACATTCTACCACTGCTCACGGCGCTGAGCTGAGCAGCTGCGACCATGTCCCTAGAGCCCTGAGAGAACTGCTCTCAGAGCCCATTTCTTGGCAAGAGTAAAAAGCAGACCCCAAGTTCTCTGCACTGGTCCATGTAGGACCGTCCACCCACTGGCATTTCTCACCCTGCACGCTGGGTTAGCGGTCAGTGCAGCCCTGTCAGAGAGCAGCTTGTAGCAGGAAATGATCTAGGAAAACGGCCCTTTGCCTCATGACACAAGGAGAAACAGAAGCACTGCTCGAACAGATGGAGAAGTGACCATGTGGCTCGGTCACCAGGTTTCCCGTGCGGGCTCTCCTGAGAACACATGACCACTGCCCTCGGTGTCTCGTGCTACCTGGGAGCCTGTCCCCAGTTAACAACGCCCAGCTCAGTGACATCAGCATCAAAGCCACCCCTGACCATGCTCACTCCCCTTTACTCCACAGAGACCCTCTGTGAGGTGGAGACCCCATGGTCCGAACACCCAGTAGCCTCAGTAATGGCATTTTCTTCCCCTGGTGAAACAAACCAACAGCAAGTGCGGAGAGCCGATGGGGCCAGTGACAGACTTTCAGTGGCTCTGCCCCGAGGCCATGCATCCCAGGGAGCCCATGTGAGTAACAGGGTGCTGGACCCGAGGAGCTCTGCCCGGCTTCACCCAGCCCAGAGATCCAGCCCCCCACCAAAAATGTGGGGGACGGGAGCAGGTCCGCCCAGGGGGCATCTGGGAAGCGGCCCCGGGGCCACCAGCCCTTCTCCCAGCTGCCACCCTGGGAGAAAGATGCGGAGAGGCCACAGTGCTTGGAGCAGGCTTGGCATGAAGTCTGTGTGGGCAGCAGGACACCCAGAGGGATGTGTGGGCCTCAGGGCCAAGGTGTCATGGGGACCCCGAAGGAGACAGAGGTGGGTGTCTGCAGAGGCCACCACAGCAGCCACCTCCGTCTGGGGACTGCAGTGAGGGAGGGTCCCGGAGCTGCCAGGCAGGGCCTTGGTGGGTCCCTGTTCCCCTGCTGAAGGAGGGGGAAGGCCAGAGAATGAAAGTGCACCAAGACCGCCCTCTCTGTCTCCCTGTAGAGACTGAGCCCAGAGCAGGCCCAGGGAAAGGGGGCAGAAAAATTTCAACTTTGAACAAAATTGGACATTTTGGTTATGACCCTGCACTCCACATATTTAAGTACTGAACTAAGATGCATCATGTGGCTAAAAATGCCCGGATGGCTTTTCCTGTGCACATGTGAGCTAAAGCTGTTTAGCGCAGGTCCCATCTGGGGCTCAGTGGGCTGTACAGGGAAAGAGCGAGGCTGTGCTGTGCCTCCACATGAAAAAACCCCATTTCAGCACAGTGGCTCCATGCAAAATACTCAGCAACCACTGACAGAAATGCGAACTGCCCTCTGCTCAGCGTGTGCAAATAACATTGGTTGTTAAAAAAATGTGTTAGGAAAACTGCAGCAAGCCGCGTGCTCACAGTTACTATCAAATGAGAGCAGAGTGTTATTCCCTTGTTATCTTGAGAAAACATATTAAAATCTTTAATGGTAAGCAGTTGATCTTTGTAAAAACTAGCCCTTCAAATCTGGCTTTGAGATAAATGGCTTTGCACTGCTTGTGTGCTTCGAGATGCTTCCAATGATCACGCTGAAGCGCCTCAGCACAGGTGTGCCTCCCGCAGAACCTCTGACAAGAGTCTGTGCCTGGCGCCCTACACAGACTCCTCGCCAGCTGGCACCCGCCCTGCAGCCACCTTGGCGGGGGGTGGCCGTGCGGGTGCACCTTCGGCTCTGGCTCCTGTCAGGGGGTCCGTCTCTCAGCCGTTCGGCCACGGAAGTGCTTACTCTATGGCTGTCTGTGGACCACTTCTGGGGGCCACTCTGATGTGCTTAAGTGCTCTTTGCTTTGGGCCTCTCCACAAACTCCAATGATGTTGTTGTAAAATATTCCCTTGAGTATCAAAGAGAACTAGTTTATGGAGGAGAATCAACAAGTTATAAGACTACCAGCGCTAAGCACTTCTGGCCACTTGTGATCTACGTCCACCTCTGAGAAAGGCAGAATGGCATCATCTTTCAGTGTAATTCATCTATTGATCAAGTCCGACTCTGCGATCTGAAGTGCTCTCAAAGGGCCTTGGTTTGATTCCCCCCTGGCAGGGCTGAGCGACTGGGGGGGCTGGAATAGTCTCAGAGAAGTCTGGAAGGAGGAAAGGCATCTGGGTGGAAAATCGCCGCATCTGCGTCCCCAGCGGACGTGCATTTACTTACTGGGGGAGAGTGATGTGGGCAGCTGGGTAGCTGCTTCTCTCAAAATGCTGCAGGAATTGGCAAGGGTGACCAGGGAGATACACAGCAAAAGCCCTCAGAAGGTGAACAGAGGTGATAACTTATCCCCTCAAAAGAAGTGGGGAAAGAAAACCACGCACCTTCTGTTGGCAAGACTTGGCTCTTACAGCTTAGCAATCAATCCACCTTGTGTCCATCCCTGAAAGACGAGAGGTTGACTTGTTCCTCCCAATCAGAGGTTAGGTCCCTGGCCAGCTTCCCGGCACATTTCTTCTTGGTCGTTAGTTCAAATCTAAGCCACCTGTTCCCTTAGAGTCCCGGAAACATGGAGATTCAAAGGTATCTTTCATTATCTGGTATCAGGGCACAGATCAAAGACAGCTGAATACAACAGCAAGGGACAGCCAGGGACAGCAAGGTCTTGCAGGAATCATGCACCCTAGCTTTAGCAAAGGCTACTTATATTGAATAAAGTACCAGGAGGTGTTTTTTTTTAAACATTCAACAAATTGTTTTTAAATTATTAAAATGAAGAACTGCAGACAAGTTGAAACTGCCCAACTCATCAAAAAGTCATGAGAAGTATGTCCACATCTCCTAATTCAAAGGGTGATTCTGACAGGCAATCTAATTTTAATGCAATAAATACTGGCCTTTCTTGTTCTTGGTTTCCTCATTTATACAACAAAATAGGCTCCTAAGTTTCTTCCAGGCCTGGGATTCTAAAAGTTAACAGGCCACCTGGAACTGGGGTATATCCCAGGGAAAGAGAAGGCAGCGGTCCAGGAGAGCCGTGAGGGTGCCTTCTCATTTGCTGTTGGGAGGAAGGTCTAACTGGAAATGGATCAGCCCCGCGGAGGAGAGCTGAAGAGAGATGCTGTCCTGCCAGTGGGTGTCAGCCCCGGACAAGCTCACTATGGATTCAATGTGACCAAAGAAATGACAGCAGGATATTAGTGGGGTGAAAGGGTCATTCCCAAGTTTACTCCCATGGTGGCAGGTGAGGCACGAGAATCCCGCCCACTCAGAGCGAGTCCGCACGCAGCAAGCCCGTCTCGGCCTCCAGGCCTCTCAGTCCCTGTCCTTGGCGCTGCCACCACTCCAGCCTCTGCTCTCCTGCAGCCGTGCAGCCATGGGTCACCCAGAGCACCGGGTGGAGCTCTTTTATATAGTCATTAATGATGTATTGCCCACACCTGTGTAGTGAGCTAGTCAACCAGGGCCAGGTGAGAATCCCGGGCACAGGAACCTTCACTTTATCCACAGATGCTT